AGCCTTTGCCAGTGCCCCTCAGGTCAAACCAAGCAAAGGCACCCTATCCGCATTCCAAGGGGCCAGCAGCGGCACTTTGGTTCACAGCATTTTCTTTGCTGTGCCCCTCTCTCACGTTATGTAATTTGGAGGGAACTGAGCACGGCAGGGGAAGGGAGAAGGGTCGAACTTCCCAGGATGTCTGTGCCAGAATGTCGACAGTCAGGAGGGCTCTGCCATTTCTTGGCAATGCCAAGGGACCTGGGGTGACAGGCTTCTTTTTGCATTGGAGTCTCAGCGCTGCGATAGTCGAGCACTGCGGGAAAACACAGGGTGGTCGAGTTCCCTCGCCAGCTTTCATGATCTCCAGCCCCCACCCCCTTGTGTGCCCACACTTAAGAAATGTCCCCCCACCCCAGCACCTGCTATCATCAGCTCCGTGGTATAAAGTGCATGCCCTTCCCTCCCTCCCACCAGCACTGCAACCAATCTAAGCTACAGATTTTAAGAGATGTTCCCGGGACTTTTGGAACTAACTTAAAACAACGGTGGTTATTTTAGATGCTATGATCTATATTTATATAGATTTCTGGACTGCTCAAGCTCTTTGACCAAAATCAACGATATCTTGGGATTTATTAAATTATGTAATAGCACAGACATCAGAATATTGTGTGGAAGTAATGCCTTTACTTTGGTCTGATTTCGTTGATGTACACAACCAATTTCCAATAAAGTGCTAGAATGAGCATGTCTGTGGTCTTTCTTTAGAGAACGCTTATTAAGCCCAGGAACTCAGGTAAAAGGGCTCCACTGAATTTATGGGCCTTAGAGACAATTTGAATGTAGGAACCGAAAAGGGAAAGAGAAGAAGCCATTCGAATCCCAGGATTCTAGCTTTAGCAAGTGGGTAGTTGTACAGTTGACATAGACATCTAGGACGCAGGGGGAAGAACACATTTTTTAAGTGATGGATTTCATATTAGACATGTTGAGTTTGAGTTGCTTGTGCTTCAGTTGGCCACGTTCAGGATGCACCTGGAAACCTGGGTCTGTCCTTTGGGAAAGATTGTATGGCTGGAGTTATCCTTTGGGGGATTATCTGCACGTGGTGGTAGATATACACACAAGTGGACAGGACCACCAAGGCAGAGAACACAGACTGAGGGCAGTGAGGTGCTAAATGCAGAATTTGGCAATCACCACATAGGAGTGGAAGGGGGCTGGGAGGTGAGGGGGAGACAAAGCAAGGGGATTGGAAAGGTCATGTGCCGAGAGGCGATATGAGAGGGATGCAGTTGTGAGGTAAGGAATGAGTGGGAGGTGAGGAAGTGGAAACAGAATAGACAACTCTTTCCAGGAATTCGACTGCAACATAGAGGTAAGAGAGGAGGGTTCGGCC